CCTGGAGCGCCCAGCTCCGCGGCCCCCAGGACCCCGAATTCTCAAGAGCGGTGCCCCGGGCTCCAGCGAATCAGACAAATAAGCAGCCGGCAGCCTGGGGTGTGCCTGAGCGGCCGAGCGCTTGCCCAGCTCGCTGGAGACCCTGGGGTCACCCCAGCACCGGGTCGGGGAGAGTCTTCTACCGATCCTTGAATCCTGCTCTGTGGAAGGGTGGGGCGGGGTTAGAACCCGGACAGGGAAAGGCGTGTAGGTGGAAAGGGTTAGGGACATGCCCAGGGACTCAGAGGACAAATTCGTGCCAAATGTCTTGCGGAAAGTAAAAAGTAAAAAAGACATTTTTACTTAATGCTTACGTTTAACATCCACAGGATTGGCCGAAGTCGCAGATGGGGCTTGTCCACGCTTTGCAATGCTTTCGCGTGGGTTTGAAGGGGTGTTGCGAGGAGGCCCCCGCGCCCCCACCCTCCATAACTCCGCAGCAGCTGGCAAGCAGCTGACCATTCAGATGTGCATTTGGCCTAAAGGCACCCCCAGGAGAACCACACATTCCACCAGCCAAGGCTGGACTCAGGCTTGGGGGCTGGGACGGTCTCTGAACCCGCGGCCTCAGGCTTCTGCCACCCGGGGGTAAAACGAGGCCTCCCATATCATCTTTTCCACCCTCTCCCTGGTTTTTGGTTTTTTTTTTTTTTTTTTGTTTTGTTTTTTTTTCTATTTCCAGCGTGCAAGCCGCGGAATTATTTTCATTTCTTAGAAAAAATAATCCTCCTCAAAATCTGAAGAGGATAAATGACAGAATCGAAAATCTGAAAAGTTCGTTTATCTTTTTTTTTCTTTTTAGAAAAAACATTCGACTGTGTTCAGATACCCCCACTTCCCTTCACCGTATCTCTCCTCTCCCATGGATCCAGAAGGCTCTTCTAAGGCTGGCTCGGATGTGACACAGATCAATGGCCCAAACAGCAGCAGGGACAACAAAAAACTCCCCTTCCTCAACAGCTTTAAGATTGTGAAAATGACAGGAAGTTCAGGTTGGCTCTGGCATTTATAGCACTGACATACGTTCAGCCCGAGAAGCTCTGGTGACAGGCTTTCTAAACAAGTCTGGTGACAGACTTTCTCCCTTCTTAGGCCTGGAGTTCAACACACACACACACACACACACACACACACACACACACACACTCCGTCAGGCCTTTCCTGGTCTGGGAAGGGAGAAGAAAGACACAGGCCACCGCGGGCTCTGCAGTCTTTGTCAGTCCAGCTTTCTATCTTTGCTACACTGGCTTCCTCAGTTTAAGTCGCACCTGGCCCTGTGGCGGGAGGGCCAGCCGGTCCTTGGAACGCAGTGAGTAGGAAGTAGCCACGTTGGCTTCAAACATTGCTCTTGCCCTGAGTCCCTCTGTCCCCTTAGCTCCAGAGATGCAATGCAGCCCGCAGAATTTGGAGGTGAGGAGCTGGAGCTTAGGGGACTGGAGGCCCGGTCACTGTAGCCAGTTCAGGCAATGCTTCCGCCAGTAGCCACTGAGGCCCCACAGGTCACTTCCTGTATGCACACTGGTACAGAGAGTCAGACGGGAAAAAGTTTAAAAAAAATTTCCTGGATATCTTCCACGAGACCCTAGATCCCACTTGTCCTTACTCCCGACCCCCATTTTTCCTCTGAGAGCCAGGTGCTTGTGGGCAGGAGGGGAGGGGTCTCTTCTGAAGATCCTAACAAAATCCATGCTCCTCATGGCCTGGCCGGGAATTGCTCTGCCATGGCTGCAGACCACAGGGTCACTGGGTAACCGTGGGGTTTAACACGCCCCCAGTCGGACCCAGAACCCCAGGGACGGAGCCAGGCACCGAGCCTTGCAGGGAAGACACAGGACTCAAGGGTTCCTGGACGCTTCTCAGAGGTCCTGGCTGCTGCTGGGGAGGCTGTGGCGGAGGTGGAGGCGGCTGCTGCTGCTGCTGCTGCTGTTGCTGCTGCTGCTGCTGCTGCTGCTGCTGCTGCTGCTGCTGCTGCTGTTGCTGCTGCTGCTGCTGCTGCTGTTGCTGCTGCTGCTGCTGCTGCTGCAATTTCTTCTTGTTGATTTTCCTTTCCTTGGCTCTGCGGTTCTGAAACCAGATTTTAACCTACAAATGGAAAAGTGGGGCAAAACAGTAGATGGTGAAGAAGATGTGAAGGAAAAGAACAGTATCCAGCGTTATCACCAGTGTCTCTTCCTTTGCAGTGAAAGGAGCCCAAAATTGGTAGTTGTTTTCCTTGGATATTCAGAAAGCGCCTAGGGCGGGAGCTGTTCTCACACCCAACTCAGCCTCCTGAGCTGCGCGTTCCTCCTTCCTTGCTCCCCAAGTTTCTTTCCAGGGAAACTTCACTGGCAAAGTACAGTCTCAGAACCAAAGAAAATACAGACTTGCCCAGAGCTCTTCCTGCATAACAGGGGAAGGCCAGTGCTGACAGAACTTCACATCGTAACCTTTGGCCCCTCACAGCTAAACTGAAATGTAATATTCCTCACCTGGAAGCTGGAAATGAAATTTTACGTGCAGCTTCCTGGCCAGGGCCTCACACATGCTATACAAGCGCTCTACCACCGAGCTACGTCTCCAACACTCTTTAAATTTTATTTTGCCACAGGGTCTGGCTAAGTTGTCTTGGCTAGCCTCGAAATGGTGATCCTCCTGCCTCAGCTTCTGGAACTGCTAGGACTACGGTTACGTACCACAGAACCTAGCCAGCCTTTCTGTTTTTCTGAGTAGAGGCTACACCTTCTGTTTTTAGTTTTCCTGATGCTGGGAACTCAGTGAATAAGTGTAGGTGTCTATGCACCTAAGAGGAATCTTGTATTAAAGTAACACTCGGATTTTTCTTGTACCTTCCAGGGCCCTCAGTGTAGAAAAAATTTCGGGAAGATACCGTAAGTAGAAAGAAACCTTTACAGAAAGTCCTCCCAAGGTAAATGCTCTTGTCTCTTTATATCTGCTCACACTCCTCTCCTGAGGAGAGAGGGCCCGGGCGAGCAGCCAGTTCCCACCTGCCTCTCTGAGAGCCCCAGGGTGGCAGCCAGCTCGGCCTTCCTCCGGATGGTGATGTAGCGACTGTAGTGAAACTCCTTCTCCAGCTCCAGCCGCTGGTGGTCAGTGTACACGACTCGGTATTTGTCTTTCGTCCTGGTTTTCACTGTGGAGGAAGGAAAATTTAGGGCTGAGAGCCACAAGCCAGCCCATCAGTCACAGGTAATGACAAACCTCCCTAACCCAGGATCCATTTCTCTTCCTCCAGCACCCTGGGGGGCCAGGGCTTGGCTGGCTCCTGACAGGTCTGAAGGTCCCACCCCCAGTCCTGGGAGAGAGGGAGGGTGGGAAGTAGCGGGGCAACTAAAATAACCTTGGGGTTAGGTTGTTTGTAAAAATTAAAACTAAAACCTCGTACACAGGAGACAGCAGAATTCAGGCTGCCTTTTTGGAAACCTAAACACAGCACTGTACTGGAATATATTTACCATCACAGGGAAGGGGGCAGGTGGAAGGGGGGATTGTCAGGCTTACCACGGAGGGCAGTCCATCCTGAACACAGCTGAGGGCTGTGTGCTGTGGGCTGGTGTGGGCATTACCAAGGGACTAGGGTCAACACCCCACGCTTTGGGTTCAGTCCAAAGAAGCCTGAGCTCGGTCTTAGATAACTTCTGCCGGCAGGGGAAAATCTCTCCTGCTGGGACACTTCGTACCTGGCCAGCCAGGTCGGCCTGGGGAACTTTTTCTTTTTAACCCCCGATTTATTCCCAATGCAAAGCCTGCCAGAGCTATCCTGACCAGTAATCTCCGATCGCTGGATTGAGTCAACACATTAAATCTTGGATTGATTGTTTTACTGAAGGGGCTTGACAAAGAGTGTCGCTGCTGCTGGAGGTCCCTCTTGGGTCAGCTCTTGGCAGAGTGCCCCTCCTCCGGGAGCTTTCTCTGGGACCCAGGCCCAGGTCAGGGTGGTCTCCCGGCTGCCCAGGTTCGGTCACCCGGTGCCCACTCCTCCAGGAAGATCTAAAGGGTCTGGGAGTTGCCTGGAGGTGTTTAATGCCCGGCAGGCTGACTTTGTTCAGGTACAACCCTTTGCAAACCATAACAAAAGCGCCCTGGGAAGACACAGGCGGGATCAGAGGGAGCTCCCCCAGCCGCTGAAAGGGGAACACAGTCGCAAACAATGCAGGACAAGGCGATCTTATCAAAGAAAAGCCCATTCAATGCCTTAATAACAACCGCATTCTGTTTGAATTACCACTACTGAGCAAATGGCGGCGCGGCTTTCATCTCCCTCCCGCCAGGCGTGTTAACATAAACACCGCCCGGCAGGCGCATCTGAATGGAGCTGCGCCCCGACCCGCGCCGGCCGGAAAGTAAAGGGACCGAAGGAGCCCCAGAGCCTTGCGCGAGGCGGGCGCGTCCCCTGCGCCGCCACCCGGCTCCCGGCCCGGGCTGCCCGTAGTCCCGCCCTGTGCGCGCTGCCCAGAGAGGAGGAAGCGATCAGACCCGGGCGCGCCGGAGCAGGAGGCTCTTGGGGCCCCGAAGGGACAGTCCAGGCCCGGGAGCGGGGCGCAGCGCAGCTCCCCCAGCCAGCGCCTCAGCAGCTGGACTCGCCTTGGGGTGCCCCGCAGTGGCCTTTGCTCGGGTTCTGCTCTTTCAGTGTCCCCGGCAGGCCCGCCGGAACTCGGTGACCAAGAGCAGCTGCGCTCTGCGCCCCGCGCCCCGCTCCCCACGGGCCTTGTAGGCGCCCCGCACCCCCTGGGAATCAAGGAGCGGGGCTGAAAGAGGGAAAGGATGAGAGGGACTTGTCAGAATTCATTATTGACTGCGAAAGTCACCACCCTCTTTCCGGGCCCTAAAGGAGACAATGGCAGGGTTGGGAAGGTGTATATCAAAGCCGGCCGGGCCTGGTTCCCCCCCTTGACAGATGACGCTCCGCAGAGGAGCGGGGCTCCGGGCCGGGCCGCGGCCTCCCCACATTAACATCACAAGGGCGCCCGGCGCCTACCGCGGCCTTGCCACCTCGGCGCGGGACATCACAGCGGCCTCTCATCTGCTGACCCCGCGGCCTGGGCTCTTGCGGCTACACACACACACACACACACACACACACACACACACACACACACACCAGGCCCGCAGCCACCCTCACCCGACAAGAAAAGTCTACCTTAGGCGTTGACCCCATCCAACTACGCCCCAGGCAAGCTCAGTGGGACGGTTTGTGCGAGCTCGGGTCTGGGGCGCTGCCTGTTAGGACCAGGGCGCCCGCCCCCGGGGAAAGATCACCCGAGGGTCATCTGTGGTCTTCCTCCCGGGCCGCACTTCCCACCTGCGCACCCCGAATGTGCGCAGCGCCGCAGAAGCCGGTGTCCAGAGACGGCCCCCAACCGGCGCTCTGATTTATACGGCTGTAATTGGCTATAAACCTCCGCAAAGGGGCCGTAACCTGCAAGCGGCCCAGCTGGGCCAGCAAGAAGCTAAGCAAGGAGGGTGGAAGCGCCGCCGAGGGCCGCGGAGAGACTTCTGGAAGCAAATACAGACGCCAGTAGGTCTCTAACACCATACCTATCTTCGCTTCCTTCCCACCTGACTACGCAACCCCACACCAGAAGGAGCAGGCCCACAGCCAGAGTCCCATAGCAGGCAAAGTTAGGGTCCCTGCGAGAACATTCCCAGTGTAACACACACACACACACACACACACACACACACACACACACACA